TAGTAGACCTAGACTTAATACTCCACACAGACCCGACGAAACCAACAAGAACAGGAAACTCAGTCTGTGGGGACACAACTCCGGACTTGACTCTCACACACGCCATTAGAAACATACTGTGGACCAACACAGGCGATTACTTGGGGAGTGACCACATGATCATATCGATAGATCTGCACCTAGGAAGGAAAAGTTTCTTGGGAAAGGAGTTACATAATACGGTCAGACACACAGACTGGGATCTTTTCAGAAGCAGAAGAATAACAACGGACATTAAGATAGTTGATTTGGACAGCTGGGCCGCCGAGCTCATGCAGGACATGGATAACTCAACCAAAACTATCGAGGGAATACCACTTGAAGCTGAAGGGAACGTCGACTCCAAGCTAGCACACTTAATAATGGTCAAAAACTCCACAGTAAACAGATGGAAGGGAAAAAGGCTCAACAGGAAGCTAAGGGCAAGAATAGCCAGGCTAAACATCGAGATAGAAACTCACTGCCAACATCTCAGCAGCCAAAAATGGCACCAAACATGTAGCCGGGTATAAAGCAACCTGAATACCACTAACGCATGGAGGCTACTCAAGCATCTACTGAACCCGGAGAAGACCAAAACAGAACAACACACCAGGCTCACAACACTAGTGAACGAGGCGCTTAAAAAAACGGGGGAAGAGGAACTCGTGCTGAAATGCGTAAAAAGGTATACAGGAACAGAAGGATCATGCAAAGAACGGAGGTATTTTGGGAACAGAAACACAAACTTGGAAAGCGAATTCTGTACCTTTGAAGTGCGAGCGGTACTGGTGAATCTCAACACGCGATCAGCACCAGGGCCTGATAAAATCTCCAACAAAACACTAAAAAACTTAGACGACAATTCGGTCCAAGCGATTACGGAGCTCTTCAACAAACACTGGAGGGAAAGAACGATACCAAAACAATGGAAGACCTCCAACACGATACAAATACTCAAACCAGGCAAGGAGCTAAGTCTCAATAACTTACGCCCAATATCACTTACTTCGTACTTAGGAAAAGTGATGGAGCATGTTATTCTAAACAGACTAAACAGATATCTGGAAGAAAAAGAATATTATCCCATGAGCATGATCGGATACAGAAGCAAGCTCTCCACCATGGATGCCCTAAGACAAATCAAGGAACAGATGATGGACTATAAAAGCAAAAACAAATGCAGAACTATACTAGCACTGGACTTAGCTGGAGCCTTTGACAACATAACACACGATTTCATACTCGACTCTATAAGCGCACTGAACCTGGGCGAGAAACTGCACAAGTTTGCAGGCAGCTTTCCTTCCAACTGAGAAGCCGCATTGAAGGTAGGCGAACTTTCAACCGAAGGCATAAAACTAGGAAACAAAGGCACACCACAGGGTTCAGTAATCTCGCCGGTCCTTTTTAACATTTCTATGATAGGACTGGCGAGGGAATATGAACGGGTGGAAGGCATTAGTTTTAGTATATACGCAGATGATATCACTATATGGACGGAACAAGAGAGCGAAGAGAATGTAAGGAAGGCACTACAAACCGCTATCATCGCCACAGAAAGGTATCTCAAACCATCGGGGCTCAAGTGCGCGCCAAACAAATCCGAGCTTCTGATTCTTAAAAACAGCAGGAATCAGAAAAAGTAGGAACAGGAAACTGTAGAGGTTAAAATATACACAGAAGACGGAACCCAAGTACCTGTAGTGCAAAAAGTCAAAATCCAAGGAATGCACATCCAGCGCGACGGAGGAAACAAGACCATGCTAGAAACTCTCCTTATTAGAGTCAGCAACGCACATAGAATGATCAGAAGAATCGCAAACAAACACGCAGGGATGAAAGAGGAAAATTTGTTGAAACTCGTGCATGCATTCGTCATCTCACACTTAATATACTCGACTCCATTAGCTAAATGAAAAAAAAAAGAACTGGAAAGACTAAACGCCAAAGTACGAGCAATATATACAGGCTGTCACAAAAGAAAATTTACACGGTCTTTTTCACCGCAAAAACAAACTAGGCATCGCCGAACGCTCATTCTCCGCCCAAAGGTAGAGGAAGAGGTCGCAACCAGATGCCAAAGTTTCAACCCGATCCGTTAACTTAATCAAAAGTTATAAGTGATTTTCTGAAAATTTCAATGGGAAAATGGAGCCCATTTTTGCTCGTTTTTCGGTTTCTGGTGCCATAGAGCCCCATGTGTTTGAAAACTCCGTCGGCCGCCATTTTCCCATTGAAATTTTCAGGAAATCACTTATAACTTTTGATTAAGTTATCGGATCGGGCTGAAATTTTGGCATTTGGTTGTGACCTCTAGCTCTACCTTTGGGCGGAGAATGAGCGTTCGGCGATGCCTAGTTCATTTTTGCGGTAAAAAAGACCGTGTAAATTTTCTTTTGTGACACCCTGTAGATCAACACTAGGAATACCCAAAACTACGAGTAACGAAGCACTGAACCGCCTAAGAATACACAACCATGTTGAGGAAATAATTCAGGCACAGAAGCGAGCTCAAAACAACAGACTAGCATGGACCAAAACCGGAAGGGATATCCTAGAAGAACTAGGACTAACAGCTAAAGATGGTCAACGCGAGAAAGAGACGCTGCCGAGAAGTGCATATGAGAGAATCAAGATACTACCAATCCCAAAGAACATGGACTTGAATCATGACGAGGAACGAAGAAAAGCTAGAGCCAGAGCTCTGCTAAAGACCTACGGTAAAAGAAAAGATGTACTCTTTGTAGATGCTGCCTGTTACGACAATAAAGAGCTCGGACATAAAGTAGCAATAGCAATAGATACAGAAGGCAACGCTATAAGTGCCATAGTGTTAGAAACGCCTCAATAGAAGAAGCAGAGGAGATGGGCATCGCCATAGCAGCGAACTGCAAAAACTGCAGCCACATCTTCTGCGCCTCAAAAACGGCTATCAGCAACTATATCAAAAACTACGTACACAAAAGAAAGACTAAAATCCTTAGGAAAACAAGCGAAAACTCTGAACAAATAACCATACATTGGTTCCCAGCACACATTGACCTAAGCGAGGACGAAAACCTGCCTAACCTTAACGTGCGCGCAGACGAAACCGCGAGGAAACTGAGTCGCGGAATAAGTCAGGCGCCTACAAGGGAAAGGTAGAAGAAAGCGAAACTCCACAAACTTTTCAAGAAATCACTAGAGGCCCCAAATTAAATAGGAGAGTCTACGCTCCACCACATAAAACTCTCAGTAGAAGAGAAGGCGTTTTACTAAGAATGTTACAGACTAAAACAATCCCAACACCCAAAATGATGAACATCATTAGACCAGGGTTTGAAAAAGAACCTATATGCAACATATGCAAAGGGAAAGTAGGAACTTTCAAACATATAATGTTCGAGTGTATAAAATCCAGGAAAAAATATCCGCTGACCACTGAGGGGGAGATGCTGGCTGCCTTGGCCCAATCTGACGAGCGAGGCCAAAAGTGGGCCATCCAGTATGCGGCTGACACCCTTGCCCAGCAAGGCCTGGACGGGGGCCAGCCGCACATGCACTGAATAAGTGATATCAACTGGTTCCCAATAAAGGTTTCCTTCCTTCCTTCCTTCCTTCTCCATCTTTGGGCTGTATCGGCGGGCTGTACGGAACATCGAACTCTCGCTCGTGGCTGCCGTTGTGAAGTGGTTCGCGTTCCTAGAATAGTTACGGCTACTCCAAAATCAACCTAGAGCTCTCTGTTGTTCTACTTCGGTAAATGATCAACTGACATATCTTTTTTCCGTTATTAAATAGCAGTTGAGTGAGCCGGCAGTACTACCCTCAACCACTGCGTGTATTGAGGCAGAAGAGCACGTTTTTATTTATTATTTCAGACATCCACTCATGGTCGCTAAAGGCCTACACCAGTACTAACTTTGTATGCGAAAAAAAAGTACAGCCACCGGATTCACTTTTCGCCGGAGAGACCGGCCAGTCTTCCACAGTTTTCCCTATATTTTTTTTTTAATTGCACGCAGATAACAGCGCAATTGGACTCTGTTGGTATTTTTTATCTAGCGTAGTAATACACGATAACTGGCATACCAAAATCTGCGCATCTGCGCTTGAAATTCCCAAAATGACGCAATTTTAAACAGGGTTTGTACGCCAGCCGGGTGCTAGGTACTGCTCACTCGGCGGAGCAGACGACATCGGGCGAGAGGGGAAAAACATTTTTTTTTCTCTTTTTACCCTCTCTGCTATGACCCTAATGGAACGGTCTATACTTACAAAGCCTGGCAGTTTGACAACGGAGCCATAGAGTGCTCGGTCGCAGATTTGTAGCGCGAGGGTCTGTTAGCGCAGAGCATCAAAGAGCAATTTCTCGGGGAACCGAAAGCCCCTTCAAGTTTTAAAAGCAGCGCAAGGTGCGTTAATGCGCGAGGAACGTGCAACGTGCTGCCCTTGTGAAGATCAAGGCGACAGCGCAGCACTGAGCTAGATTTCAGACGCCGTGTTCCTCCCAGAAGTGGCGCGTGGCACGTGTCTTGAGCATTTCCACAACAATGAATAGCGCCACTTGTCCCTGGATGTAGTGGCTTTAGGGAACCAGGACGTCAGCGCGCAGCTTTTGCAGCGGCGAGGACTCGAAACGCACTTGTTCGCTCGGGAGAAATGTGTTTCGGCGTCTCGCCGCCACGAGGCACCAGTCACGTGGTTCTCTTCTCATCCGTTGTCTGCCGCTCCACCTTTTCCATTTCGGCGGCCACTTCTCGAGGAGATCTGCCAGACTTTGTCAGTCTATAGGAGGCTATGCCCGGAGTTAGGAAGCTCGTCCTGGAGGCGAAACGACTGGAGCTCCTTCCTTTTGTTCTCACCTCGTCAGTGACATAAGCACTCATCTGAGCCAGGTCATATTGCCGTTGACTGTACAGAGTCGCGACCTCGCATTTAGATCGTCCACAAGAGCGTTAAACGGTTCAATGAAACGCTGTTCGACTGGTTATACGCACGTTGTTGGTGTTGAAGTCGTAGTCAAGCTTGAATTGGAGCCTGCCCAGTTTTTCCTCGGACTTTTTGCTCTCGCCGTCGCCTTCATTGTTCTCCATGTTGTCCTGGAGGTCTTCCATGTCCGGTTGAACCTGCGAAAGAAATGGGATAAGTGTCGCAAGTACTGATGGGACACTATGCAATCACGAGGAATTAGGAATGCGCAAGGGGGATGGAGATACAGGAAGATTTAATAAAGCGAAAGTTTAATTTTATCGGAGCTTTATTGTACAAATGATTGGTCCGTCCATTCATACGTCCGTCCCTCCGTCCGTCTGTGCCTCTCGTGCTAAATTTAGCGGGAAAATTGAGGTCACGTCACATCATCGAAATTACGTGACCCGACGACTTGAAACTATGAGGTGAATTTCCCCCCTACGTACAGCTGAAAAATTATTGTTACGTGACCTCGAGTCATATGACGTCCGGTCACGTGAGATTGTGGCGCCACGGCGTTTTCCTTAGATCACGTGATGATTACTTTCTTTTTCTATTTCTATGCAGCAAATGATTTCGATTGGTTGTACAGAGCGCGAAACTGTTAGCGCGAACAAACGATCACCGGTTTTTCCAGTTTTTCTCTTCGAAACCAAGGGATGTCATCCAAGTTATTATTGCGACGGAAAGAGCTCATTTAGTTCTATAATGTAAGCGATAAAATTTTGTGCTCGCTAATACCATTTTGAAGTAAAATGCGGAAATGCGTCGATGTCGTGTTCGCGCTAACAGTGTCGCGATGTGTACATATTTCGTATTGAAGCCAGTTGATAGAACTTCTAAGTCTTGTTCTGGTCCAAACTTTATTTGGAGTGTGTTTTTGGAGTGTGTTTTCAATGTTTTTTCTTTTTCTTTTTTTTGTCCTAACCGTTAGTTTAATAAAGTTCAGCACTGTGCAGTATGTGCGAGAAAACGTAGTCTAATAAAAGTCCCTTTTTGTGGATCTTATCGTCGTTGTAACTTGGTTTTTTTAATTTGTCTGTGTTTCTTTCTATACTTGTCATTATTTGCAATACACTTTAGTAATGACCAAGCTTTAGTTTTTTTCTTTATTCTTGTCATACATTTTTTTTCTTCATCCAGTGTTTTTTTTTTGTTTACGCTTTTTATGTTGCAAGTTTGAGTTGATTTTGATTAAATATCTTTGAATATGTTAATATATGTATCGTCTGTTTTTTCTGGGTTTTGTTCTTTAGCAACTTCGTTCCAGTCTATCCCTTCGATACATTGATCCACTTTACTATCTTTAATAAATGAGAAATCAATATATTTATTCTTGGTATCTTTAACAAAATCCGCAATATTTGCTGTAAACATATGATCTAAACACGATTGCTCTAAATATATGATCTAAACACGATTGTGTTAGTTTCGTTCCTGATATTTCTTCTTTTGTTAACTGATTTATCACCAATTCCAATCCGGCTTGTGCTATGTCGTCTAGGGATTTACTCGTCAGTAAACTGTGTTTTCTGGTGTGTATGGTAATGTCCCCTACAGCTATTATGTCTTTGCCTTCGTTGTCATTTAACCAGTTATTGATATGAATAAATCAATTTATATTACCATGAGATGCCCTGTATGCCTAGTATAGAATTCGTTTTATTGTTATATTTATTTCAATATGAAGAGCCTCCGTTGAACAGAACATAATTTTATTGTTTTTGGATACTTTCCATTCTTGGTTTACCATAATCATGATTCCTCCTCCTATCTCTTAACTTTATTATTTTAAAATACCTAAAAGTTAGTAGTAAAAGAAAAAAAAAAAAACTTGCTTCCTCTTGTGTAATATTAGTTTCCGAAAATACAATTAAGTCTACATTAACTAAGTACGTTTTAGCCAAGCTGTTTATTTCATTGAAATACGTTTACAGTATCGTTTTTACTTTCCCACCACTCCTCAAAAGAAGAATATGTTTGTTATCGGTGCATGGCAAATCAAATAGGAACATCGACTAGCAGATGTATCTTCATCTAATTCTTTCAAGGTCATCTTCGTCTTCGATTCAAAGAGTCGGTTTATTGCTTTTTTTTTTTGCATACTGTGAGCAGCCTTGCTTATGCCACACAACACAAACTTGTAGCGGAGGTGTCTTGTTTTTGTTGTCATATTAAAAAAAAAAGCTTTCAGTATGACGCGGTAAAATTTTCTTGCAGATCGACATTATCTGCGTCTGCGTCATTCCTCAGCTTTTGCTTATTTTGAAGCCACGCGTTGCCAACGATCGTGGCGGTTGATGAAGCGCACAAATCACCATGGGAATTTTCTTTAGGTCCTCGGGGCGATTTCCGGAATGGCCCTCACCTTCTCCTTGTAGGCGTTTCCCAGCAGCTGAACGCCCTTGAGGTCTACGGCGCCCTTGAGTCCCTTCTTGGCGTCCTTCTTGCGTCGCCTGCACCAGCGGCGAAGGCAGCAGAAGCAAATGCAGAGCAGCAGCAGCGCCACCGCGATCAGGATCATCACGATGCCCCATGGGGGAACTGGAGAAGGGAAAAGAGCGGGAAGTCAGGATGGGCACCAGCGGAAAACCCATGGCGGAACTGAGAAGGGGAAAGAGCAGGAATTCAGCATGGGCACCAGCGGAAAACCCTCCGGTTCATTTGTTCCTTTCAGAAAGAAACACACATAGCGCTATAGACAGGTACCACTTGAAGGAGTAAGCAGGACAGTCGCAAACTAACAACTGATGGTTTAATGCGAAAAAAAAAATAAAAATAGAAATAAAAAAATAACACACACGTCAGTTTCTAGTTAGGGCAATGTCTATTCAACATTTCATTATGGTATTATTTCTAAAAGTGTTTATAATGTGGGAGGGTGTTGTATGTCTTCAATACCGCGGCATTAAATCTCCTTTGCGGAAGAGAAAATTTGGATAGTCAGGCATGGTTGCCGTCCCTGAACATTTAACTAACATAGCGCGATGGCATATTAAGATGAGTTGGAATTGAATTCAAGTTAGGGAGCGTTTACTCTTTCCGTTCTCAGATCTCCTATTTACGTTTTGTTTTTGTTACAATATTTTGCAATCACATATCAACGAGGCTCACGCCGTGACCTGGTGCCCTGATGGCACGATTTCAACAAATCAGGCGCACGCTAGCGATGCCTCCTGCTCATAAGTACATGTCAGCACCATCACCATTTTGAACGCCAGATCTGCAAGATGAGAGTTTGATTGACGTGCCCAGGAATCCCGGGTTCAATCCACACCCCTGCCCGTTTCGATCTGGATGAGCATCGTACCGGCGTGTGCTCGTGTATCACTACTGCCTGATGCACGTTAAATACCCAAGGCTGGCGGTTGAACCGCACTGGTTGAATTTCTCATCTACAGCTGAGAGGTCGCCCGTTGAGGCAGAATAAGTTCAGGCTGTATAAATATACCCACACCCTAATTTGTTGCTACCTGTATCACCTGTGATGCACAGTCATGTAATTCAAGCGACGCCAAGAGAAAGTACCGTTTGTATTCTATCGTAATATGTATAAGAGCTGGACCCACCGTCTTCCTGGTGGTTACGCATGTATGTAGCGAACAAATTGATATTTAGTTTACTTTCAACGGTTGCCATGCAGTAACGTTAACAGTGCCTTAAGAATTGCGCCACAAAACTGAATTTGCGGCGTTTCCACAATTATCTTTTATACAGGACAGATGTTTATTGTGGACCAATTTCTAGCTGAAACGGAGATGAGATTTATCTGTACCGTTGTTAGTCACCCAGCGAAATCGTTGAACGGTATTGTTAGATGTTTAAGTTTATCGTAAAAACATTAACAAAGTGAATTAACTCGTTTCAATAATGTCAGAAAGAGTCTTAGTAAAAAAAATTGATAAAAAACATAACACATAATTAGGGTTCTGACTTTTGGTTTTAACCGATAAAAAAAATGAAAAAAAAAGTGCGCCAAATACACTTTTAGAAATTCGGATTTAATCAAAAAAGGTCAGTTTTTAGGTTCGACGTTTTCGGTTTAAACCGATAAAAACCGATAAAAGTACACCGAATTCATTTTCGAAAATTCTGTTTTAACCGAAAACGGTCAGGTGTTTTAGGGCCGCGTCGAGATGGGTGGGAGAGGATGGGGGAGGTGGGAGTGGAGGGGGGGGGGGGGGGGGCGTTGCAAGGTTCGGCATTGCGTGACCTCTTCGTGATTGCCCTTTTTTTTAGGATTCAACATGCAACAAAAGAGGTATTGGGTTGTCCTTCGCGGGACATCTCTGTGCTTTTTATGATCGGGCTTAGTGTGTCGAATTCTTGGTCCTAAGGAAAAAGTTGGTGTGTGGGCTAGTATAAGGTTTTTCGCTTCATGCAAGGTTCGCAGCCAGAGTTTAGTGAGTACACGAAATATGTTGTGCTTCAAAACGTCGCACCATGTTTCTTTTGGTAGTCACATTAGGTTGATTGGCCGATTTTAGATCAGGCAGAGCTTCATCTCCTAAGCATGCCAAGGTCCAATGTTAACGTTGAAGAAAGAATGAGCGCGGATTGACGAGGATAAGCTGGGAAAGTACACATGTGTTTACTATAATAAGATCACGCAATCCTGATGTACAGAAGGTGAAGTTTCATGTTTTTGGGCATTGACTTGTTCTTACTTCTGTGCTTTTTTTTTTTCTTTACAGTTGCACACATTTGCCAAATAAGGTGTCGGTGTTTTTTTGTTTTTTTTTTCAATCTATCTGTGCCGTTATTTTTTGGGTGATCACAAATATCAGAGATGCAAAGATCATCTGATCCGGTGTCCGATAGTGTGTCTTTCATATTCACAAAAAAAAAAAAAAAAAACGGTAAACTTTTGTGGACATTAATGTACACCGAGAAAATCCGGAAATTAAATTTTAATATAAACACCTAAAAAGTACGTAGAATTCTGAAGAAGAAAAAAACCGCAAACACGGAACCCTACACTAATGTGCGATACACGGCACCGCAAATTCCCTAAGCTTCGCCTGGTACTCGTAAAAAAAGTTCAAGCAAAAAATATCTTTGACGTTCATGTGTGGCACGAACACATTATTATAGCAACAACAAAAGATTATTCCTTGTGAGTTTCTAAAACTCAACACGAAACTTCGCTTTTCACACTCTGGATGACAGATAATACAAAAAATTTCCTTGTCAGGAAACAGGGACGCAAGTGCCGAAGAACACCCATAAAAAACACGCCGAAGTAACTTGAGACTGCCTTCGTGTAGGAATGCGAAAGCATTATTGTCTCGCGGGTGTAATGTTTTCGAGTAATGTTTCTACACGTATTAAATTTGTTTCTGCCGGTATTGTCTTCGGTGTGTGTATGTATTCGGTGCACAGGGCAATCCGGCGATGACATCACTGCCCCCCCCCCCCCCGCCCCCCCTGCGCAGACGAGGCCCCCCTGTCGTCTTCACGGCTTCTGTGACGAAGCATCTGCGTTGCTGTGCTTTTCTTTGTGATTTACTTGTGAGGCGCGTCCGCTTTGACCTTGAGTGGCGCGTGTTTGATGACGTATTTTTATGGCCATCTTTCGGGCACAACGCCGACACCTTTTCGCGTAATGGGACATATATTGCTTTCGCCTTAATCATCGTTGTCTTTAATCCTAACGATGCAACGAATGGCTGTTCTTCGTCAGGTCTTCTATTGCGGTTATCGATGGTTACAGGATCGCTCAACAAGAAATATAGGTGTGAAATCCCCAAAAAAGAGAAGAAAAAGAGGAAGCTAAAAAAAAGCCTACCGAGTTTCACCTTAAATTCTACTGCAGCCAACGCCAAGTTCCGATGGCCAATTAGGTGGCGTCAAAAGTGCCTCGTCACGGCGCCCGTTGTGCTTAAAGTTTGCTATCTCCGGCTAAACAAATCGCGCGCCGAAAAAAAGTGCGAGATTACGCGCAGCATTCACTGCGAGCTTGATTGGTTGAGCCGATGAGATCCAACGCACTAAGACCCTGCTTTGATTGGCTCCAAAGAATCAGAGAAGAGTATATACAATTCATCAGAAAGGTATGAAAAGAACGACACCGTGAGAGTTGGTTGAAAATAACCAACCAACAACAAACATACGAAATTTTTAACAACAAACAAACATAAAACTGAAATTATAAATGAAAGAGTATTAAGACCAATTTTGAAAGGTACTTTGAATTTTTTTAAACACAAAATATTGAGAGGCGACAAAAATATTACGTGCCAGATGTATTCAATGAGTTACCGAAGAGTCAAAAAGCGAAAATTTCCTAAAAGCCGCAAAATGTCGACAAAAAAAAAACAACAAAAAACAAAACAAAAAACCAACATACAAAGAATGATCGAAAAAAAAAGGAAAATCTAAACAGAAACATACTAAGAAAGACGTCACCTATAGGGATACTCTACTAGATTGTATTTTTAGCTTAAAATAAGACAGTGCCAATAAAATCGGATCAAGTCCGATCTAATCTTTAGTATGCGAAGGTAAAGCCAACACTCCTTTCTATGTTTTGGTTGCTGCGGACAACATATGATACTAAAATAGTGCGGTTTTGGTTTTGCTAATTTGGTTGAACATCCAGAATGCTTTATTGTTATATTACTTTTTGTTTTCCTGTAGTGCTGCTGCCGTGCCCCATGCACGAGCCTCCTGTATGTATAAGTATTTATTTATATATTTACTCCAAATACTCCTAGAGGCCCTCTGTACGAGGGTATTACATAGGGGTGGGCGGGGGGGGGGGCATGCAAATATATTATAGTACGCATAAAAAAGTATACAAAGACAATATGAGAACAAGGAATAAAAAGAGTCCTAAGTATTAGTATAACTGCGCACTAGCTGTTGGGAGTTAGATATATCTAGTTCAGTTGCAATGTGAGCCGGTAGGTTGTTCCAGTCGGTTATGGTCCGTGGTATAAATGATCGTGCGTCACTAGATGAGTGGCATGTAATGCGCGTTAATATGAATGAAGGATCGCGACGTGGAATGATAATAAAGGGTGTTAGAAAAAAAAAAGTGTAAATAAAGCTGTAAACTGTAAATAAAAAAAATAAAAAAAAACTCCTAAATATTGGAAAAACACTAGGCCCATACACGTAAATTACAAATTAGTAGCAACTGTTCAAAGACTTGAGCTTCAACGACTATTAGCCCCGAGAGCGAACACAAGCGTCGCTGCGGTCGCCGCGCCCTGATTGGGTGAGGTGTACCGTGACGTCAGGGAGATGACTACGCTCCGCGATCTCGCATCGGGTCGCTTCCCAGCACCGGTTTCCTGGTTTGGCGTTGTGTGCCGCAAGCTCTTCGAGGAGCTGGACATCGTTTACCCGGTGTACAAGGCGTTGAGTTAGGCCGATATTGACGTGCTTCCGTACATTTTATAAGCCTGCTTGTCCCTTTTACCTTTAAAATTAGATCACAAATCCCGAAAGCTATCGGCGGAGGCAATTCCGCCGATGTACCTCCCCGTCCGTTCACACGACACAAGGCAATTTTGCGAGGGATCGGTGAAGCGGTGGCG